GTCTATAGTCTAGTCTATAGTCTAGTCTATAGTCTAGTCTATAGTCTAGTCATAGTCTAGTCTAGTTAGTCTATAGTCTAGTCTATAGTCTAGTCTATAGTCTAGTCTATAGTCTAGTCTATAGTCTAGTCTATAGTCTAGTCTATAGTCTAGTCTATAGTCTAGTCTATAGTCTAGTCTATAGTCTAGTCTATAGTCTAGTCTATAGTCTAGTCTATAGTCTAGTCTATAGTCTAGTCTATAGTCTAGTCTATAGTCTAGTCTATAGTCTAGTCTATAGTCTAGTCTATAGTCTAGTCTATAGTCTAGTCTATAGTCTAGTCTATAGTCTAGTCTATAGTCTAGTCTATAGTCTAGTCTATAGTCTAGTCTATAGTCTAGTCTATAGTCTAGTCTATAGTCTAGTCTATAGTCTAGTCTATAGTAGCTATAGTCTAGTCTATAGTCTAGTCTATAGTCTAGTCTAGTCTAGTCTATAGTCTAGTCTATAGTCTAGTCTATAGTCTAGTCTATAGTCTAGTCTATAGTCTAGTCTATAGTCTAGTCTATAGTCTAGTCTATAGTCTAGTCTATAGTCTAGTCTATAGTCTAGTCTATAGTCTAGTCTATAGTCTAGTCTATAGTCTAGTCTATAGTCTAGTCTATAGTCTAGTCTATAGTCTAGTCTATAGTCTAGTCTATAGTCTAGTCTATAGTCTAGTCTATAGTCTAGTCTATAGTCTAGTCTATAGTCTAGTCTATAGTCTAGTCTATAGTCTAGTCTATAGTCTAGTCTATAGTCTAGTCTATAGTCTAGTCTATAGTCTAGTCTATAGTCTAGTCTATAGTCTAGTCTATAGTCTAGTCTATAGTCTAGTCTATAGTCTAGTCTATAGTCTAGTCTATAGTCTAGTTATAGTCTAGTCTTAGTCTAGTCTATAGTCTAGTCTATAGTCTAGTCTATAGTCTAGTCTATAGTCTAGTCTATAGCTAGTCTAAGTCTAGTCTATAGTCTAGTCTATAGTCTAGTCTATAGTCTAGTCTACAGTCTAGTCTATAGTCTAGTCTATAGTCTAGTCTATAGTCTAGTCTATAGTCTAGTCTATAGTCTAGTCTATAGTCTAGTCTATAGTCTAGTCTATAGTCTAGTCTATAGTCTAGTCTATAGTCTAGTCTATAGTCTAGTCTATAGTCTAGTCTATAGTCTAGTCTATAGTCTAGTCTATAGTCTAGTCTATAGTCTAGTCTATAGTCTAGTCTATAGTCTAGTCTAGTCTAGTCTATAGTCTAGTCTATAGTCTAGTCTATAGTCTAGTCTATAGTCTAGTCTATAGTCTAGTCTATAGTCTAGTCTATAGTCTAGTCTATAGTCTAGTCTATAGTCTAGTCTATAGTCTAGTCTATAGTCTAGTCTATAGTCTAGTCTATAGTCTAGTCTATAGTCTAGTCTATAGTCTAGTCTATAGTCTAGTCTATAGTCTAGTCTATAGTCTAGTCTATAGTCTAGTCTATAGTCTAGTCTATAGTCTAGTCTATAGTCTAGTCTATAGTCTAGTCTATAGTCTAGTCTATAGTCTAGTCTATAGTCTAGTCTATAGTCTAGTCTATAGTCTAGTCTATAGTCTATAGTCTAGTCTATAGTCTAGTCTATAGTCTAGTCTATAGTCTAGTCTATAGTCTAGTCTAAGTCTAGTCTATAGTCTAGTCTATAGTCTAGTCTATAGTCTAGTCTATAGTCTAGTCTATAGTCTAGTCTATAGTCTAGTCTATAAGTTTCTAGTCTTATAGTCTAGTCTATAGTCTAGTCTATAGTCTAGTCTATAGTCTAGTCTATAGTCTAGTCTATAGTCTAGTCTATAGTCTAGTCTATAGTCTAGTCTATAGTCTAGTCTATAGTCTAGTCTATAGTCTAGTCTTATAGTCTAGTCTATAGTCTAGTCTATAGTCTAGTCTATAGTCTAGTCTATAGTCTAGTCTATAGTCAGTCTATAGTCTAGTCTATAGTCTAGTCTATCGTACTAGTCTATAGTCTAGTCTATAGTCTAGTCTATAGTCTAGTCTATAGTCTAGTCTATAGTCTAGTCTATAGTCTAGTCTATAGTCTAGTCTATAGTCTAGTCTATAGTCTAGTCTATAGTCTAGTCTATAGTCTAGTCTATAGTCTAGTCTATAGTCTAGTCTATAGTCTATAGTCTAGTCTATATCTTAGTCTATTGTCTAGTTTATAGTCTAGTCTATAGTCTAGTTTATAGTCTAGTCTGTAGTCTAGTAAATAGTCTAGTCAATAGTCTAGTCAATAGTCTAGTCAATAGTCTAGTCAATAGTCTAGTCAATAGTCTAGTCAATAGTCAAGTCAATAGTCTAGTCAATAGTCTAGTCAATAGTCTAGTCAATAGTCTAGTCAATAGTCTAGTCAATAGTCTAGTCAGTAGTCTAGTCAATAGTCTAGTCATAGTCTATTCTAGCCAATCGTAATATTAATAGTCTACTCAATAGTAAGTAGTCTAGTCAGTAGTAGTCAATAGTAAGACTAGTCTATAGTCTAGTCTATAGTCTAGTCTATAGTCTAGTCTATAGTCTAGTCTATAGTCTAGTCTATAGTCTAGTCTATAGTCTAGTCTATAGTCTAGTCTATAGTCTAGTCTATAGTCTAGTCTATAGTCTAGTCTATAGTCTAGTCTATAGTCTAGTCTATAGTCTAGTCTATAGTCTAGTCTATAGTCTAGTCTATAGTCTAGTCTATAGTCTAGTCTATAGTCTAGTCTATAGTCTAGTCTATAGTCTAGTCTATAGTCTAGTCTATAGTCTAGTCTATAGTCTAGTCTATAGTCTAGTCTATAGTCTAGTCTCTAGTCTAGTCTATAGTCTAGTCTATAGTCTAGTCTATAGTCTAGTCTGTAGTCTAGTCTATAGTCTAGTCTATATTCTAGTCTATTGTCTAGTTTATAGTCTAGTCTATAGTCTAGTTTATAGTCTAGTCTGTAGTCTAGTAAATAGTCTAGTCAATAGTCTAGTCAATAGTCTAGTCAATAGTCTAGTCAATAGTCTAGTCAATAGTCTAGTCAATAGTCAAGTCAGTAGTCTAGTCAATAGTCTAGTCAATAGTCTAGTCAATAGTCTAGTCAATAGTCTAGTCAATAGTCTAGTCAGTAGTCTAGTCAATAGTCTAGTCATAGTCTATTCTAGCCAATCGTAATATTAATAGTCTACTCAATAGTAAGTAGTCTAGTCAGTAGTTAGTTCAATAGTAAGACTAGTCTATAGTCTAGTCTATAGTCTAGTCTATAGTCTAGTCTATAGTCTAGTCTATAGTCTAGTCTATAGTCTAGTCTATAGGCTAGTCTATAGTCTAGTCTATAGTCTAGTCTATAGTCTAGTCTATAGTCTAGTCTATAGTCTAGTCTACAGTCTAGTCTACAGTCTAGTCTGTAGTCTGGTCTATAGTCTAGTCTATAGTCTAGTCTATAGTCTAGTCTATAGTCTAGTCTATAGTCTAGTTATAGTAGTCTATAGTCTAGTCTATAGTCTAGTCTATAGTCTAGTCTAGTGTAGTCTAGTCTAGCGATAGTCTAGTCTATAGTCTAGTCTATAGTCTAGTCTATAGTCTAGTCTATAGGTCTAGTCTATAGTCTAGTCTATAGTCTAGTCTATAGTCTAGTCTATAGTCTAGTCTAGTCTATAGTCTAGTCTATAGTCTAGTCTATATAGTCTAGTCTATAGTCTAGTCTATAGTCTAGTCTAGTTAGTCTATAGTCTAGTCTATAGTCTAGTCTATAGTCTAGTCTATAGTCTAGTCTATAGTCTAGTCTATAGTCTAGTCTATAGTCTAGTCTATAGTCTAGTCTATAGTCTAGTCTATAGTCTAGTCTATAGTCTAGTCTATAGTCTAGTCTATAGTCTAGTCTATAGTCTAGTCTATAGTCTAGTCTATAGTCTAGTCTATAGTCTAGTCTATAGTAGTCTATAGTCTAGTCTATAGTCTAGTCTATAGTCTAGTCTATAGTCTAGTCTATAGTCTAGTCTATAGTCTAGTCTATAGTCTAGTCTATAGTCTAGTCTATAGTCTAGTCTATAGTCTAGTCTATAGTCTAGTCTATAGTCTAGTCTATAGTAGTCTATAGTCTAGTCTATAGTCTAGTCTATAGTCTAGTCTATAGTCTAGTCTATAGTCTAGTCTATAGTCTAGTCTATAGTCTAGTCTATAGTCTAGTCTAGTCTAGTCTATAGTCTAGTCTATAGTCTAGTCTATAGGTCTAGTCTTAGTTAGTCTATAGTCTAGTCTGTTATTAGTCTAGTCATAGCTAGTCTATATTCTAGTCATTGTCTAGTTTATAGTCTAGTTATAGTCTAGTTTATAGTTCTAGTCTGTAGTTAGATTTGTAGTCAATCCTAATTCCAGTTGTATTATGTTGTCCATCGTTGTATTCTGTAGTGTATTTTTTTAAAGTATTTTTCTCGAATTCTTTCTAACGTGACTTAAACTGCATCCCCTTTATATTATTTTCTAATATAGTTGTTCTTTCTTATCATTTTACTATTATTAGTTTTAATCTTATTTTTAATCAGTTTTTCTATCTATTTTCTTCTCCTAGATATTACGAATCTCTTTACGTAGACATGTATTTTCTTATTTTAATATTTTATCTACTGAATATAATCTATCATTTCTTTGTTTATATTTACTTAAGTTATTAGCAAGCCATTTTTATATTTAACAAAAGTTTTTTTATTTTGCATAATTTACAACAAGTGTTAATTGATATAAACACTTTTTAAATAGAGATTTATCTCGCATAAAAAAATTATTAAATGAAGTTTAAAAAAAAAATCTAATTTTTCAGAGTGATAAACAATTTTGCCACAGTTTCAATTAAACGGTCGTCGAGTTTAAATCGTATGGAAATTTTACGTGAAAATAAAGAATAAAGTGGAAAACTAAAATTATTGCAAAAATCGATAAATAATAAGTAAATCAAAGAATAAAATATTAAAAAGTTAGATACGAAATCACAGTTTTAAATAAGTGACTAGACAAATTTCTTTAGCCAACTACAGATATATCATAACCCATATAAATTTTTACTTAAAAATCATACGTAAAACCTACTAAACTTAAAAATCCAGGGACTACAATAAAACAAAGACAATTAAAGTAAATAATAATAATAATAAGCCATTTGTATACGAGTATAAAAGCACGATTTTTGCTGCATTTATTTATGTTTGTGTCTAGATGAATATCAAACTCTACATGTATCTGTAAAACAATACACACGTATGTGTGTATCTGGGCAAAAACTAAAGGCAAAAAAATACATCAGCAACATGTCTTGTAAATTTTATTCAATTGTAAACATCAGTGTTTTATACCCGTATCTTGACAGCAACCAAACACGTCCATCTTTTCACACACACACACATACACAACATACTATACATACACTCGACGAGATAAACAGTCGTCATTCAGTGGCAAACAGACAAGCACAACGACAGACAGATAGTTGGTGCTGAATTTAAGACAGCAAAAAGCACCAGCAACTACAACTATAATGACAAAGACAGTAAGACAATAACGAGGAGGATCTGGACAATGACGACAATGAAAATAAAAACAACAGCGAAGTTAACTAATTTGTAAGATAACAAATGGCTGAAATAACAAGCAAGTTGAACAGAAAACATTAAAGACTAAAACGGGAGTGAATGAAATTAAAGTCCTAATGAGGATGAGGTTGATAGGAAGAAGAGCTATTTATTGGGAATTGATAGATATTTAATAGGCTAGTCAATGATCTAGTCAATAGTCTAGTCAATAGTATAGACAATAGTCTAGTCAATAATCTAGTCAATAGTCTAGTCAATAGTCTAGTCAATAGTATAGTTAACAGCTTAGTCAATAGTCTATTCTATAGTCTAGCCTAGTCAATAGTCTATTCAATGGTCTAGTCAATGACTAGACAATAGTCTAGTCAATAATCTAGCCAATAGTCTAGTCAATAATCTAGCCAATAGTCTAGTCAATACTCTAGTCAATAATCTAGTCATAGTCTAGTCATAGTGTAGTCATAGTCTAGTCATAGTCTAGTCATAGTCTAGTCATAGTCTAGTCATAGTCTAGTCATAGTCTAGTCATAGTCTAGTCATAGTCTAGTCATAGTCTAGTCATAGTCTAGTCATAGTCTAGTCATAGTCTAGTCATAGTCTAGTCATAGTCTAGTCTAGTCATAGTCTAGTCATAGTCTAGTCATAGTCTAGTCATAGTCTAGTCATAGTCTAGTCATAGTCTAGTCATAGTCTAGTCATAGTCTAGTCATAGTCTAGTCATAGTCTAGTCATAGTCTAGTCATAGTCTAGTCTAGTCTAGTCATAGTCTAGTCATAGTCTAGTCATAGTCTAGTCATAGTCTAGTCATAGTCTAGTCATAGTCTAGTCATAGTCTAGTCATAGTCTAGTCATAGTCTAGTCATAGTCTAGTCATAGTCTAGTCATAGTCTAGTCATAGTCTAGTCATAGTCTAGTCATAGTCTAGTCATAGTCTAGTCATAGTCTAGTCATAGTCTAGTCATAGTCTAGTCATAGTCTAGTCATAGTCTAGTCATAGTCTAGTCATAGTCTAGTCATAGTCTAGTCATAGTCTAGTCATAGTCTAGTCATAGTCTAGTCATAGTCCTAGTCATAGTCTAGTCATAGTCTAGTCATAGTCTAGTCATAGTCTAGTCATAGTCTAGTCATAGTCCTAGTCATAGTCTAGTCATAGTCTAGTCATAGTCTAGTCATAGTCTAGTCATAGTCTAGTCATAGTCTAGTCATAGTCTAGTCATAGTCTAGTCATAGTCTAGTCATAGTCTAGTCATAGTCTAGTCATAGTCTAGTCATAGTCTAGTCATAGTCTAGTCATAGTCTAGTCATAGTCTAGTCATAGTCTAGTCATAGTCTAGTCATAGTCTAGTCATAGTCTAGTCATAGTCTAGTCATAGTCTAGTCATAGTCTAGTCATAGTCTAGTCATAGTCTAGTCATAGTCTAGTCATAGTCTAGTCATAGTCTAGTCATAGTCTAGTCATAGTCTAGTCATAGTCTAGTCATAGTCTAGTCATAGTAGTCCTAGTCATAGTCTAGTCATAGTCTAGTCATAGTCTAGTCATAGTCTAGTCATAGTCTAGTCAATAGTCTAGTAAATAGTCTAGTCAATAGTCTAGTCAATAGTCTAGTCAATAGTCTAGTCAATAGTCTAGTCAATAGTCTAGTCAATAGTCAAGTCAATAGTCTAGTCAATAGTCTAGTCAATAGTCTAGTCAATAGTCTAGTCAATAGTCTAGTCAATAGTCTAGTCAATAGTCTAGTCAATAGTCTAGTCAATAGTCTAGTCAGTAGTCTAGTCAATAGTCTAGTCATAGTCTATTCTAGCCAATCGTAATATTAATAGTCTACTCAATAGTAAGTAGTCTAGTCAGTAGTTAGTCAATAGTAATGCTAATGGTCTACTCAATAGTAAGTAGTTTAGTCAGTAGTATAGTCAATAGTTTAGTCATTAGTCCATTCGAATGCCTAGTCAAGAGTTAACTTAATAGTCAATATTATAGTCAACAGTTTACGTAATAGTCTAGTCAATAGTCTGGTTAATAGTCTAGTCAATAGCCTAGTCGATAGTGTAATTAATAGTCTAGTCAATAGGCTGGTCAATAAACTGATTCGGTCGTCTAGTCTGTGGTATAATTAACAGAGGAGTGAATAGTCTAGTCAACTGTCTTGTCTATAGTCTAGTCATAGCACTAGTAGTGGTCTAGTGAATAGCTCAATTGATAGCGTATGAAAATAAAGTTCTGGCTAATATGTTGAACAACTTTGAATACAACCTTTTCTGTGGTAGTGGATATAAATAGTAAAAGATTTAATTTAATTTAAAAATCTGCATATTTTTTCCCTAGAACGTGTAACTGAATTAATAAAATGTTCAAAGAGTGAAAGAAGAACTAAAGTAAATCCAACAAAAAAAACAGTAAAAGTACAAAAAAAGACAAAACGACCAAGCAATATTCCAATCAATTCCTGCAACAAGAAAAAAAATGTTCTTTAAATATTACTTTTTAATTTTTCTGATTTGTGTGCTGCATCATTACATTGCTCCTGTCGCCAGCAATGCTTTGCGTCCCGGTTCTGGTCTATCTTTGTCGCTGCACAATTGCAACAAAGATAAGTTGTTTCAATTTCCGGATTTCAATGCCATCACAGACTTAAATGTTCATCATTGCTATATACCCACCTTGGAGAATGCATTTTTCATACGCTTCACTGCCCTTACCAATTTGGAAATCACCGACAGTCAACTGTCGTTTTTGGAAGATTATGCATTTCATGGCTTAAAACATTTGCGTTCATTATCTTTGGCTCATAATAATTTAACTCATGTTAAATCATGGTCCAACGAACAAATGTCCTCGTTAATAAGTTTGGATTTAAAACGCAACGCTATAAGGCAACTTACTCTAAAGAGTTTTTCGCGTTATCCCAATTTACAGCGTTTAAATTTGTTGGGTAATCTTTTGGAAGACATCGATGATGGTATATTTCGTTGGATGCCTCATTTAAAATATTTAAATTTGGGTAGAAATCGTTTAATCGCTTTGGAGAATCGCAACTTTCATGGCATGCATCGTCTGTCGTATTTGGCTTTGCATTTTAATGCTATCGAAGATATTGAGGATGAATCGTTTGGCACTAACTCCCACTTGAGGACATTACGTTTGGAGGGGAATAAATTAACGGATTTGGATTTTTTGAAAGTTAAAAGTTTAACGCGTTTGCAGCATTTGAATTTGTCATTCAATGAGTTGGCAACACTGGATGACATGACTTTTTCAAAGGATTTTGAAATTGTTGATTTGGATTTATCCTATAACCGTTTAATGGAAATACAAGAGGATGTTTTTCTCGGCTTGGAAGCATTGGTGGTGAGTGTATAAGAAAATTATACAGAAATGGAATTGAAATTTGATCACACGATCGTTTGATCGAATTCTCTTTAAAAATTTTTCGAAAACGATCGTTATTTCTAAAGAAAATTTAATCAAACGATCGTTATCGACAAATGTTCTAAAGAAAATTTGATCAAACGATCGTTATTTAAAGGTTTTTAAAGGAAGTTATATCAAGTGATCGTTATCGAAAATTTTCTAAAGAAAGTTTAATCAAACGATCGTTATCGAAAATGTTCTAAAGAAAATTTCATCAAACGACCGTTATCAAAAATTTTCTAAAGAAAATTTCATCAAACGATCGTTATCAAAATTTTTTTTTTCTAAAGAAAATTTCATCAAAGGATCGTTATCAAAAATTTTCTAAAGAAAATAAGTTCTAACGATCGTTGTCGAAATTTTTTTAAACAAAATTTCATCAAACGATCGTTATCGAAACTGTTCTAAAGAAAATTTCATCAAACGATCGTTATCGAAACTGTTCCAAAGAAAATTTCATCAAACGATCGTTATCGAAACTGTTCTAAAGAAAATTTCATCAAACGATCGTTATCGAAACTGTTCTAAAGAAAATTTCATCAAACGACCGTTATCAAAAATTTTCTAAAGAAAATTTCATCAAACGATCGTTATCAAAATTTTTTTTTTCTAAAGAAAATTTCATCAAAGGATCGTTATCAAAAATTTTCTAAAGAAAATAAGTTCTAACGATCGTTGTCGAAATTTTTTTAAACAAAATTTCATCAAACGATCGTTATCGAAACTGTTCTAAAGAAAATTTCATCAAACGATCGTTATCGAAACTGTTCTAAAGAAAATTTCATCAAACGATCGTTATCAAAAATTTTCTAAAGAAAATTTCATCAAACGATCGTTATCAAAAATTTTCTAAAGAAAATTTCATCAAACGATCGTTATCAAAAATTTTCTAAAGAAAATTTCATCAAACGATCGTTATCGAAACTGTTCCAAAGAAAATTTCATCAAACGATCGTTATCGAAACTGTTCTAAAGAAAATTTCATCAAACGATCGTTATCGAAACTGTTCTAAAGAAAATTTCATCAAACGACCGTTATCAAAAATTTTCTAAAGAAAATTTCATCAAACGATCGTTATCAAAATTTTTTTTTTCTAAAGAAAATTTCATCAAAGGATCGTTATCAAAAATTTTCTAAAGAAAATAAGTTCTAACGATCGTTGTCGAAATTTTTTTAAACAAAATTTCATCAAACGATCGTTATCGAAACTGTTCTAAAGAAAATTTCATCAAACGATCGTTATCGAAACTGTTCTAAAGAAAATTTCATCAAACGATCGTTATCAAAAATTTTCTAAAGAAAATTTCATCAAACGATCGTTATCAAAAATTTTCTAAAGAAAATTTCATCAAACGATCGTTATCAAAAATTTTCTAAAGAAAATTTCATCAAACGATCGTTATCAAAAATTTTCTAAAGAAAATTTCATCAAACGATCGTTATCAAAAATTTTCTAAAGAAAATTTCATCAAACGATCGTTATCAAAAATTTTCTAAAGAAAATTTCATCAAACGATCGTTATCAAAAATTTTCTAAAGAAAATTTCATCAAACGATCGTTATCAAAAATTTTCTAAAGAAAATTTCATCAAACGATCGTTATCAAAAATTTTCTAAAGAAAATTCGATCGAACGATCGTTATCAAAAATTTTCTAAAGAAAATTTGATCAATCGATCGTTATCAAAAATTTTCTAAAGAAAATTAGATCGTTATCGAAAATCGTCTTAAGAAAATTTGATCAAACGATCATTAACGAATATTTTCTAATGAAAATTAGATCAAACGATGGATATCGAAAATTTTATATAGAAAATATGACCTATCTATCGATCGTTATCGAAAATTTTATACAGAAAATATGATCAATCGAACGTTATCGAAAATTTTGTATAGAAAATGAAATTAATTGATCGTTATAGAAATTTTTCTAAAGAAAATTAGATCGTTATCGAAAATTGTCTTAAGAAAATTTGATCAAACGATCATTAACGATTATTTTCTAATGAAAATTAGATCAAACGATGGATATCGAAAATTTTATATAGAAAATATGACCTATCTATCGATCGTTATAAAAAATGTTCTATAGAAAATATTATCGACCGATCGTTATCGAAAATTTTATACAGAAAATATGATCAATCGATCGTTATCAAAAATTTCTTATAGAAAATGTGGTCTGTCGATCACTATCGATAATTTCCTATAGAAAATGTGATCGATCGAACGTTACCGAAAATTTCCCAAAGAAAAAATTATCGATCGGAAGGGGACCAATAATTTCAATTTATTTCTTACAGAACCTTAACATCAGTCACAACTCCATACGCCACATTGCACCCAAAACATTCGATGAGCTACCTAGTCTGGAATTTCTTGAGCTAAATCACAATGAGTTATCTCATTTACATGCTGACATTTTTAATGTTACCAGTCAACTGCAAAGCATTAATTTATCACATAACAAACTCAGCAGCATCGATCCAACACTCTTCTCTTCGTTGGTATATTTAAAATCGTTGGATTTATCACAAAATCAATTGTCTAATGATGACTTTATCGAAAATCTGGCCTTAGAGTTACAATGTCATGAATTACGTTTAAATCTCAGTGATAATCACTATCGTATTGTTAACATTTCATCACTGTTGACATTCGAACAAGTGGAGTTGGCCGGCAATTGGTGGAGTTGTAAATGGTTGATAAAGGAAATGTTGAAAATACCCAAATCAATTAATTTTGGTCGCACTTATGCCGTACACACCGATTGGAGTTTGGCTATGTTGGACACGAAAGGTATTAACTGTTATGATGAGGATTCGAAAAGGAACATAATTATTTTGGATACTAGCAGGGTGTGGGAGCAGAAATTTGAACAGATGAAGTGTTCGGTTAGTCAGAACAATAATTTCCAAATGATTTTCATTATAAATATAAAACTTTTCTAACTATTTTCAGCAGCCTTCAAATCTTGAGGTGCAACCCTCTCCACCGCCTCTTAATTGGCCACGCATTAAATTGGACCGTTTTGACTCTCGCTCGGTGGTTATTTGGATGTTGATTGCTATAGCCATAGCCTTCTCTGCTTTGAGAATTGGCCGTAAATTGGTGGACCAAAAGGAGAGACAAAAAAGTTAAGAGAATTAAGGGAAAAGGTATTCATTTGATGAGAGAGTTATATTGGAATAAGTTTTACAGATTAATTTAAATTTGCTTTGTTTATTGCAGCAAAAGGGACAATTCGAAAAGGAGAGTTTAACAAAATGCTTTGAGGATGCTGATATCGATAGTCCTCAGAGTTCAGAAGATACACTAAATAATTTAAAAAAATAAGTTAAAGTTAGTATTTAGATTTTTAAAAGTATTTATTACGAAGAAAACTTTCGATAAAGAAAATAGACTTAAATAAAGAAAATTTTAGGAATTAATTAAGATCCCTAGATCCGCAAAAACAATATGTTACGAGTATTTAATATTACAATCAAGGATCCATATTCTAAACTCAGTCTTGTATAGTCTATAGTGTGGTCCATAGTCTGGTCTATAGTCTAGTCTATAGTCTGGTCTATAGTCTAGTCTATAGTCTAGTCTATAGTCTAGTCTATAGTCTAGTCTATAGTCTAGTCTAGTCTATAGTCTAGTCTATAGTCTAGTCTATAGTCTAGTCTATAGTCTAGTCTATAGTCTAGTCTATAGTCTAGTCTATAGTCTAGTCTATAGTCTAGTCTATAGTCTAGTCTATAGTCTAGTCTATAGTCTAGTCTATAGTCTAGTCTATAGTCTAGTCTATAGTCTAGTCTATAGTCTAGTCTATAGTCTAGTCTATAGTCTAGTCTATAGTCTAGTCTATAGTCTAGTCTATAGTCTAGTCTATAGTCTAGTCTATAGTCTAGTCTATAGTCTAGTCTATAGTTAGTCTATAGTCTAGTCTATAGTCTAGTCTATAGTCTAGTCTATAGTCTAGTCTATAGTCTAGTCTATAGTCTAGTCTATAGTCTAGTCTATAGTCTAGTCTATAGTCTAGTCTATAGTCTAGTCTATAGTCTAGTCTATAGTCTAGTCTATAGTCTAGTCTATAGTCTAGTCTATAGTCTAGTCTATAGTCTAGTCTATAGTCTAGTCTATAGTCTAGTCTATAGTCTAGTCTATAGTCTAGTCTATAGTCTAGTCTATAGTCTAGTCTATAGTCTAGTCTATAGTCTAGTCTATAGTCTAGTCTATAGTCTAGTCTATAGTCTAGTCTATAGTCTAGTCTATAGTCTAGTCTATAGTCTAGTCTATAGTCTAGTCTATAGTCTAGTCTATAGTCTAGTCTATAGTCTAGTCTATAGTCTAGTCTATAGTCTAGTCTATAGTCTAGTCTATAGTCTAGTCTATAGTCTAGTCTATAGTCTAGTCTATAGTCTAGTCTATAGTCTAGTCTATAGTCTAGTCTATAGTCTAGTCTATAGTCTAGTCTATAGTCTAGTCTATAGTCTAGTCTATAGTCTAGTCTATAGTCTAGTCTATAGTCTAGTCTATAGTCTAGTCTATAGTCTAGTCTATAGTCTAGTCTATAGTCTAGTCTATAGTCTAGTCTATAGTCTAGTCTATAGTCTAGTCTATAGTCTAGTCTATAGTCTAGTCTATAGTCTAGTCTATAGTCTAGATAGTAGTCTATAGTCTAGTCTATAGTCTAGTCTATAGTCTAGTCTATAGTCTAGTCTATAGTCTAGTCTATAGTCGTCTAGTCTAGTCTATAGTCTAGTCTATAGTCTAGTCTATAGTCTAGTCTATAGTCTAGTCTATAGTCTAGTCTATAGTCTAGTCTATAGTCTAGTCTATAGTCTAGTCTATAGTCTAGTCTATAGTCTAGTCTATAGTCTAGTCTATAGTCTAGTCTATAGTCTAGTCTATAGTCTAGTCTATAGTCTAGTCTATAGTCTAGTCTATAGTCTAGTCTATAGTCTAGTCTATAGTCATCTTAATCTAAAGTCTAGTCTATAGTCTAGTCTATAGTCTAGTCTATAGTCTAGTCTATAGTCTAGTCTATAGTCTAGTCTATAGCCTAGTCTATAGTCTAGTCTATAGTCTAGTCTATAGTCTAGTCTATAGTCTAGTCTAGTCTATAGTCTAGTCTATAGTCTAGTCTATAGTCTAGTCTATAGTCTAGTCTATAGTCTAGTCTATAGTCTAGTCTATAGTCTAGTCTATAGTCTAGTCTAGTCTAGTCTATAGTCTAGTCTATAGTCTAGTCTATAGTCTAGTCTATAGTCTAGTCTATAGTCTAGTCTATAGTCTAGTCTATAGTCTAGTCTATAGTCTAGTCTATAGTCTAGTCTATAGTCTAGTCTATAGTCTAGTCTATAGTCTAGTCTATAGTCTAGTCTATAGTAGTCTAGTCTAGTAGTCTAGTCTATAGTAGTCTAGTCTATAGTAGTCTAGTCTATAGTAGTCTAGTCTATAGTAGTCTAGTCTATAGTAGTCTAGTCTATAGTAGTCTAGTCTATAGTAGTCTAGTCTATAGTAGTCTAGTCTATAGTAGTCTAGTCTATAGTAGTCTAGTCTATAGTAGTCTAGTCTATAGTAGTCTAGTCTATAGTAGTCTAGTCTATAGTAGTCTAGTCTATAGTAGTCTAGTCTATAGTAGTCTAGTCTATAGTAGTCTAGTCTATAGTAGTCTAGTCTATAGTAGTCTAGTCTATAGTAGTCTAGTCTATAGTAGTCTAGTCTATAGTAGTCTAGTCTAGTCTAGTCTATAGTCTAGTCTATAGTAGTCTAGTCTATATAGTCTAGTCTATAGTAGTCTAGTCTATAGTCTAGTCTATAGTCTAGTCTAGTAGTATAGTCTAGTCTATAGTCTAGTCTATAGTCTAGTCTATAGTCTAGTCTATAGTCTAGTCTATAGTCTAGTCTATAGTCTAGTCTATAGTCTAGTCTATAGTCTAGTCTATAGTCTAGTCTATAGTCTAGTCTATAGTCTAGTCTATAGTCTAGTCTATAGTCTAGTCTATAGTCTAGTCTATAGTCTAGTCTATAGTCTAGTCTATAGTCTAGTCTATAGTCTAGTCTATAGTCTAGTCTATAGTCTAGTCTATAGTCTAGTCTATAGTCTAGTCTATAGTCTAGTCTATAGTCTAGTCATAGTCTAGTCTATAGTCTAGTCTATAGTCTAGTCTATAGTCTAGTCTATAGTCTTAGTCTATAGTCTAGTCTATAGTCTAGTCTATTAGTCTATAGTCTAGTCTAGTCTATAGTCTAGTCTATAGTCTAGTCTATAGTCTAGTCTATAGTCTAGTCTATAGTCTAGTCTATAGTCTAGTCTATAGTCTAGTCTATTAGTCTAGTCTATAGTCTAGTCTATAGTCTAGTCTATAGTCTAGTCTATAGTCTAGTCATAGTCTAGTCTATAGTCTAGTCTATAGTCTAGTCTATAGTCTAGTCTATAGTCTAGTCTATAGTTCTAGTCTATAGTCTAGTCTATAGTCTAGTCTATAGTCTAGTCTATAGTCTAGTCTATAGTCTAGTCTATAGTCTAGTCTATAGTCCAGTCTATAGTCTAGTCTATAGTCCAGTCTATTTCTATAGTCTAGTCTATAGTCTAGTCTATATTCTAGTCTATATTCTGTTAAATTTTTTCCAAAATAGAAACAGTTTTTTCTTAACAAAAGTTTTGCTATTATAGCAATACTTTTACTTGTTTTTATCAAAAGTGTTGCTATTATAGCAACTGCAGATAAAAGTTTTACTATTATAGCAAACTTCAGCAAATTTTTGCCAATTTTTGAGAATTGTTAACGTATTAAATTTTCATAAAGTGTACTGCGGCAAAATTTCAATCTAAAAGTTATAAATTTCAAAAGATTAAGAGGAACTGTTTGTGGCGGCTGTAGATTAGTTTATTATCTCGTATCAAAAAATAAAAGCTGTGAATATAATGATTTTTATTAAACAATTCTACTGATAACAAAACAATTGTTGTACATTAAATAAATGTTAATAAAAAGCTATTTTATACACCAAATAAAATATGATGTTGTGATAGGTTATGACGACTACAATAATGATGATGATGATAGTGATATTAAATACATAAAAATACATTTAAGTTGGTGATGTATAATAAAATAAAATGTGAAAGACAGCAGAAGTGGGTAAATAAATAGCACTGTTGGTAAATTTTGAAATTATATTTTTTAGAATTTACTATTAAGAAATATCCTCAGACATTTTGGAATTAACTGTCGTTTGTAGTTTTCATATGTTTTTACTAATTACTTTATGCTGGCTGTTACCATTCTTATACATACTCAACTAGTATAACATTATTTTTGCCAAACTCAAACCAAACATTAAATAATTTCAGCTTTATATATGATGTGTTTGTGTGTCTGTACTTAAGTATGTATTAAATATTTTGTTTTGTGCAAAGTTTCTATGTTGCAACACCGTTCTATAACATGCCACATAGATTAAACATAAACTACGGCTATAATAACAAGTGTTTTTACCCCACAATAATGCTTGTGTGTCCAACAAAAGCCCAAACAACAAATTACAGAACAAAAGTGTTACAGTGCTGGTCAAATGTTAAATGATTTACAGAAGAATCAGTCACTTTTGTAATATAATGAATGAAATACATTTGTTGGATCAGCTTGTTATAATTATAGAACATAAGTTGTGGCATGACTTTACATGACTCCACTTTTGAACTGCACTGTATATAACACGTATTCATTCATAGTTCAAGTATTGTAACTCTCTATTAGTCTCGTGTTTCTAAATGACTGAATGAATGTACATATGAATGACTGAGTTGTTAGCTGGAATGAAGTCATGAAGTGTGTGAGGGAAAATTCATATTTCAGGCATCATGTATGTTCGAGTATTTGAATTATTTGAAACTTATAATACTTTGTAATAAGTATGAAATACAATAGCTGCGTATACATACATACATACTTATATATGGTCTGCAAATGATACACATACATACATTAATACTTTTATAAAACGAATAAAAAAAACAACAATAAATAATACTAGAAACAACAAGTGTATAAAAACTACACACTAACTGTTATACATACATATCAGTATACAAGTTTATATGTTTATATATAAAGCAGTGATTGGCACTCCTAACTATATAAGACCGAAGGAAATCAGATACAACTCATGAGATTCAAAGCAAGTAAAAATGTTGCATGTGACCACCGTAAATCTTCTGCATTCATCAACAGAACAAGCGAATATTTCTGATCAATAGAGAAACTTGTGTAAGCTAATGTTGTCCCCAGATCCAGATCCTCAAAGATCTTAATATAAAAGACAGATGGACAAAAGTAGTAAGATTAAATTTAATAACAATCCGAAATATATACACTTTTTTAACCAGATCATCTTCTCGAAAGATATAAACAAATTTAGCTTTAAATAGCATATCAACTTTTGAAACTCTTTATGGCGACCA